TGCAAATGTTGGCCATTAGAAACTGGGTCCACCCAACAGGTGGTTCCCACCTTCTTGCCCTTGCCGCCTATGTTCCTGGCAACATGGCCACCCCCATATATCCCCACGTGTGTAGAACATCATGGTACCCTGCATTTGCATATTAAAAGACTAGGGTGGGTGGGCCAGCTCTTTCTCAGGCTATGTGAATGACAAACCTAGTCAAATCAACCCCCGAGCCCTACGCAAATCAAACACCATCTCCTCTAGCTTCTGCATATATACCTGGCTGGTTTCTGTGGCAGGTGGGGACCTCCTCTTTCAGCTTTGGAGACCCCCTCCCTCTGTCTCTGTACAGGGGAGCTTCTTCTTTCTTCCTTTTCCCTTCCTTCTTGGCCCTTATTGCCTTTTAAACTCTCTGCTCCTTAAAACAAACAAATGAAAAAGAAAGAAAGAAAGAAACTGTATGGGAAAAAAGACAAAAACAGTTTTAAAAAATTTTTGGTGCTCTTATCTCATAAAAATACATACTTTTATAAAAATTGTAGGTACATACTGTTTGTACTCAGAATTTCCATTTAACATTATTTTACAAGAAGAACTCAACTAAGTGCTGGAGCTATGCAGTTCCATTCCTTATTCTGTCATTATATGACATATGACCTCAAGCAAGATACTTCAGCATCATGCAGTTCACTTTCCCATTCATACAGAGTGCAGGACCCGATGCTGCTTACGTACTTACACATTTGTACATATCACTGTAGTGCACATGCTTGCCATTTTTAATGGTTATAGTGTTTTAAGGGGCTACTAATTATGATGAAATATAGAGCCATGGGTAGAATAACAGAAATAGAGGAGTAAGAATACATTTACCAGCACATGCAAATGAAGTGACACCAGAAGACAAAGAATGAAACAGAAGAGCGTTAAAGTTTTAGAGACCAAATAAAGGTTTAGCAAGAAAAACTAGTACTTAGATTTGCATGAAACAGATCCTTAAGATTAATATTTAGATCTTACCAGAAACCTACCTTAAGAGATGTGATGGGAAAGGAGGGCTATTAGCTTATAAATACCGTAATTTATCAAGACATTATTAAAACACAATATATTAGGTATACATCTAGTTGCTCTCTTAATTGCCCTCTACTTAACCCACTTGGCAGATTAACTGATAAGCTCTATTCCCTTGTAAATTTCCTGATGGCCTTGTCACAGGCCTTTGGGAGCTAATTTGTTGCTTTGTAGCATGCAAAACATGGAAGTGTTCTCTCCAACTTAGGTGAGCTATCTTGTGGTAGAAGGCAAAAAAAGAGTAGACAGTGAATGTCAAAAGGATATTAAGAGCTATTTAAGGGCTGCACCTGGCCAAATTTGGGACAATCCGAACATCAGAAACAATGATCATAAATGACTGTTAACACATTGAATCATCTGTTATCACTGCACATGAGAGCACCAAATTCTTTACCGGTAATTAAACGCCAACACTGGTAATTAAGGGAAAATAATTGAGCCTTACTCTGCCTCTAGTGTATTCCTAGTTGATGAGGGAAGGCTATACAAGAATGCTACTCAACAAATGTAAAATAAAATTATAAAACTCATTTTGCAAACACTGATGAAACAATGGATTCAGGCAAGGATCACTGTTGGTTACTTTTTTACCAGGTATGAAGTTGTTGGCAACCAAAATATCTATATACTGCCAGTGTCATTCCACAAATTGTTAATTGCAATAGGAAAAACTACCTTTATATTGGGAAGATACAGTGGTTACCGCCTCAACTGAGTGATCCATTGATAGTGAGTCAACCTGGTATTAGTGAGACTTTTGATATGATGCACTATGAAATACATCTGTGAGGTGTTATCATTAAAATGTTTAAATAATCCAATCAAGCCTTTTGCCCTAACTTTTAATTTATGGAAACTACAAGGGGTACAGGAACAACTCACATGTAAATAATTAGTTAAATCCTGAATGTGAGACATTCTTCAAGACAACTGACCTGCTCTCTTAAAGAGGAAAAACCAAAGTGGGCACTGTTCTAGACAGATGAAACAGGCATAACAATCAAATACTATGTGTAAAAACTGACTGGATCAACAAAGAAAATCTAAACATAGATTAGGTCTTCAGGTATTAGGGAATTACTGTCCTTTTTCTAAGGTATATAAATTGTATTGTGGTTCTGTAAAAGATTGTTCTGATTTTTATGAGATGCATGCTTAGGTATTTAGAGATGAAATGTCATGTATGTAAGTTACTTTCCAATGTTTGGTAAAAAAAAAAAAAGGCAAAACGTTGGTTTTTAAATCTAGGTGGGTGCACAGTTCATTTTGTTATTTTTAAACCTTTCTGTATATTTGAAAACTCATAATAAAAAGTTCTGGAAAATAAGGCTACTTGCTAAAAACTGCTGAATAATTTGTGGGTCAGACAACTGTAAAGTGGGAAAAATACACAAAGATCTAGGGTTCTCCAATATTACTAATCTGTTATTTTATAAGGGCATCAATTGCCTCTGTGTATCAGTGGAAAACTTTATAAATGCATTATTTACATAAAACATACAAAGGCAGGAAATACACAGTAAAGCAAAGAAAGGTGCTATGGACTTTAACATGCCACATGCTCAACCAAGATAAATAAGTGTTGTGTGAGGGATGAAGCAGCATAAAAAAAAATATGATTTTCAAACAACTGTTATTTTTTTTAAAAAAAAAACATAACTATATAAGCACAGTTTGAGTATTCTGCAACCTGTACTTTGTGCAGAATACTATGAAATCAAGGTTAACTAATGTAAGAGAAAGGGAAATCAAGTTTCTTAAAGAAAACATTCAACAATATAGCCTTTACGATGCTAGGATCCCAGGTCTATCCTTGAGTATCTGTTTGTAGAACAGTTTTATAAACAGTAATGTCCAAAGGAAGTGGCATGGTTAATACATGCATAAATTGTTATTTATAGTATCAGAATTGACATCAATTTCCCCTCATTTAGCTTGGGAAAATTGCCTGTGTAGATGCCCCATGAAATCAGATTCACTATTTTTAAGCAGTTCCCAAGTAAATGTTATTTGTTGAACATTTCTTTGATATATGCACAACAGTATTTTTAGTTATACCAATTTCCACTCCATGCCAGTCAATTCTTTTTTTTTTTTTTTTTGAGACGGAGTTTCGCTCTTGTTACCCAGGCTGGAGTGCAATGGCGCGATCTCGGCTCACCACAACCTCCGCCTCCTGGGTTCAAGCAATTCTCCTGCCTCAGCCTCCTGAGTAGCTGGGATGACAGGCATGCGCCACCATGCCCAGCTAATTTTTTGTATTTTTAGTAGAGACGGGGTTTCACCATGTTGACCAGGATGGTCTCGATCTCTTGAGCTTGTGATCCACCCGCTTCGGCCTCCCAAAGTGCTGGGATTACAGGCGTGAGCCACTGCGCCTGGCCTAATGCCAGTCAATTCTACTTTATTACTGAAATCTAATTTATATAATTATAATTTAATTACAAATTAAATTATATAATTTATTTAATATTTAATATTGATCTAATTTATTCATTCAATAATTAATTAATTAATTCAACCATGTATTGACCATGTGCTATTATGCAAGGGACTGGAAAAACAAATATGAGCACAATTAAATCTCAGTTCTCAGAATATGGCCTTATATTCTGGTAGTGGAATGCTATAAATATGAAATGCAATAGTATTTTTTACCTATTTCTATTTGCATTTCTGCCAGTTTTCTTTTTACGTTTAGAACCCACAAACCCAGTTATCATTGTTTAATGATTACTGTGTCAGTGCTTTTTACAATTAATTTTCTTCCTGACATGTTAAGAGTAATCTCTATTTTTCTTGTATGTATGAAGGAGTGTCAGGCTTCCATTTATTCCTTAAAAATAAGTCATTTTGTTTTTAGTTTAATAACCAGGCTGAATTCTTTTTTATTTAGCCATTCTCATTCCACAGACAAAGCAAGTCCAATTATTTTTCATGTTATAGCAATTATCTATGTACTTTTTCCTCACTCCATTAAAATTTCACCTTTTCCTCTGACCCACATTCTTCAGTGAACTCAAATCTACTTTCCATTACTTTTTTTCCCCTCACATTATTTATATAGCTGCACCATTACTTCCACTTCCTTCTCTTGGGATCTAGGTACCATTTGGCAACCCATTTTAGCAGGTTGCTTATGCTCATTCCATGACAAAATATCACCTCATTTTCTCATTACTCTAGAAATCTTTCTGTTGTGTAAATCACTTGTTATTTTCAGCATTGTAACAAGCCTTGAAAGGATCCAATTAAGAAGTTTGGGACCTGAGCATAGTAGACACTCAAGAAATGTGTTTCAATGGAAGAAATGAACTTTCCATAGTAAAACAGTCACAGAGAAACCTAACATATAAATTTAGGAGTCAGGTGAAAAAATGGGAACTGTATACCTTATACCTAGCTTTTTCCGTTAAGGATGATCTTGAACATCATAACCTAGTGAAATCAAGGCTAACATGTATTAAAAATTCATTTAAACTTGGGGCACTTAATTTTTGCCTGTTTAACTAAATCTGTACACATCTAGTATTATATACACATTAGTTTCTACTATATCTTTCATTAAGCCTCTCTTTAATATTTCAGTATCTGACGGAAGGTGTAACTAAACAGTGATCACATGGAAATCTTTAAGATACTTTCAACTCTTTTTTCAAACCTACTGGCTCCATATGGCAGTATGGCATAACAGGAGAAGGGGAAGTAAAACAGGAGGGAATCCTTTACATCAGGCGTCCCCAAACTTTTTACACAGGGGGCCAGTTTACTGTCCCTCTGACCGTTGGAGGGCCGCCACATACTGTGCTCCTCTCACTGAACACCAATGAAAGAGGTGCCCCTTCCTGAAGTGTAGCGGAGGGCCGGATAAATGGCCTCAGGGGGCCCGCGGGCCGTAGTTTGGGGACGCCTGCTTTACATATTTTAAGGCTTCAAAGCTGGGAAAAAATAAAAGGCCTGAAAGCAGCTTTCTTTTTTCTGCAATTTTAAGATTACTCTCTAGTGTGAAATCTCTGCTTGATGGACACTTTCCCAAGTTATACTCATAAGGCCTCATTAAGATGTACAGTTGACCCTTGAACAACGTTTGAACTGTACAGATCCACTTATACTGGATTTTTTTTGTTCAACTCAACAGAGTTTGAAAGTACATTATTCATGGATAGGAAACCTGCATAGACGTAGGGCTTTTCATATACACAGGTCCACCAGGCTGACTGTGCAACTCGAGTATGGGTAGATTTTGGTATAAATGGGTGGTCCTGGAACCAATTCCCCGAGTATACTGAGGAATCACTGTACTTGAAATAAAGAGTTGATGAATTATGTTTTTGAATACCCTTCACAGGGTTTCTTTCTGTAATGAATTAAACTCATATCAAATAAAGGTTAAGAAGTCAAATTTCCTTCTTAAATTTCACATTAAATCTAAATAGGTTATATCCATACCACTAATTGTGATACTTTTGCTGAGTGGTATCTAGTATATTGCACTTCTTCGGATTTCTTCTGAATGTTTTAACACACAGAACGCACAAAATAAAATCGAAATAAAGTTGTAAAACCTAAATGAAGTTTCCCTAATCCATTAATTACGATGTTTGGCACCTGTATGAACACGCTGATGCTGAATGAGGTTTGTACTCTGGGTGAAGGTTTTACCACATATACGACATGCATAGGGTTTCTCTCCTGTGTGAATTCTCTGGTGTTGAATAAGGCATGTTCTCTGGCTAAAATCCTTATCACATTCATTACATTTATAGGGTCTCTCTCCAGTATGAGTTCTCTGATGTTGATTCAGTGATGAGGAATAAATAAAAGCTTTCCCACATTCATTACATTTATAGGGTTTCTCTCCAGTATGAATCCTTTGATGCTGAGTAAGATTTGCACCTTGCCTATATGCTTTCCCACATATATTGCATTTAAAGGGTTTTTCTCCATTATGAATCCTCTGATGTTGAGTAAGGTGCACACTCTGGCTGAATGCTTTCCCACACACATTGCATTTATATGGTTTCTCTCCAGTATGTGTTCTATGATGTTGAGTAAGATTTGCACTCTGGCTGAAGGCTTTCCCACATATATTACATATATATGATTTCTCTCCAGTATGAGTGGTTTGATGTTGAATAAGGGTTGAGGAGTGAGCAAAGGCTTTTCCACATTCATTACATTTATAACACTTCTCTCCAGAATGAATTCTCTGATGTCGAATAAGGTAAGTACTCTGACTAAACACTTTCCAACATTCATTACATTTATACGGTTTCTTCCCAGTATGTATTTTTTGATGCTGAAGAAGGTGTGTACTCTGACTGAAAGTCTTCCCACATTCATTACATATATAAGGTTTTTCTCCAGTATGAACTCTCTGATGATTAATCAGTGATGAACTATGACTGAAGGTTTTACCACATTCCAAGCATTTATATGGTTTCTCTCCAGTATGTGTTCTTTGATGGATGGTAAGGTGTGCACGCTGACTAAAGTCTTTTCCACAGTCATCACACTTATAGGGTTTCTCTCCAGTATGAATTCTCTGATGTATGGTAAGGTGTGCACGCTGGCTGAAGGCTTTACCACACTGGTGACATTCATATGGTTTTTCTCCAGTGTGCATTCTCTGATGTGCAATGAGGGATGAGATATGCCTAAACTCTTTCCCACATTCTTCACATTCATATGATTTCTCTTTGGCATGAGTACTTTGGTGTTTCAGGAGGGATGGGTATTTTCTAAATTTTTTTCCACACACATTACACTTGTAAGGCTTCTCTCCAGGAAGTATTTTCCTATGTACAATACCATACGAGACATGATTGAAGGTTGCCCTGCCTTCATTATACATAGTTTTATTATCTAACTGGGTATCAAACTGTACAATTAGGTTTGAATGCTTTTCAAAATTATTTCTATATATATCATATTTACTAAGACATTCTTCTGTAGGATCATCTTCTTGTGAAAGGACTGACTTCAAACTGAAACCTCTTTCATTAGTGGGAATTTTCCAGAAGCCTCCTGTGGCTCGCCTCTCTAATCTGTCATCATAGTCATATGAGTCTTCTAATTTGATGGTCTTGGTTTCTTCCTTTGTGAGTTTAGACATATCCTCTACTGGAGTACATGCTTGGGCTTTAGTTTCCCATTCTGAAATAAAAAGAATACAAAAAAGTCTTCATTTATTTGGAGAAAGGAAACTGGTAAAATAGAAACAAAATAATAAACATGGATAAAATGCCCAAAGAGAACAGCTCTGAAAACCTCATCATCATGGTCTTTAAAACTTGGGAAAGGCAACAAAAAGGGCAAAAAAACCAAAAAAACAAAAAAACAAAAAAAAAAAGGCGGGGAGACTAAGTTGGTGAAAACAGACAGGTTCTTTGTATTCAACACGGGCAGAGAGGGAATAAAACAGATTAGGTCAGGTGACAGAGCTAAGAGAAGTCAAAACAGTGATAACACTGTGTGGGATAATTGGGATGGCCTCATGGATTAATTTATGTAATGGGTTCATAAAGTAGACATGCTGACTCTCATCATTCTCTCTTCCAATCTGCTCTGCACAATCCCACATAATATTCCTAAAGCAATTTCACTGAGTGCTTTCTATGCTCAAGTATCTCTAGTAAATCTCCCACAGCCTAAACAATGGTTCTTAAAGTACAGTCTTCACACTAGCAGCATAATCATCACTATAATCTAGAAATGTGCTAACAACATTGGGTGTCACCCAGACATACTGAATCAGAAACTTTGGTGGTAGAGCTGAGTAATTTTTTTTATTAAGCCCAGCAGTTTTGCTATATACCAAAGTTTAAGGACTAGTGGCTTAAAGGATTAAAGTTAAAGAAAAAAAGTTCAAAAAAAGAAAAAAAGTTTAAAATACCTCCACTTGGCATTCAGTCCCAAAATAAGTCAGGCCTTTCTATGCTATTCTTTCTGATACTACAACTCACATTCAGCTTAATTTAAAGTTATCCACTACTTTTTTTTTTTGAGACAGACTCAGCACCATCTTGGCTCACTGCAACCTCTGCCTCCCAGGTTCAAGTGATTCTTGTGCCTCAGACTCCCAAGTAGCTGGGATTACAGGCATGAACTACCACACTCAGCTAATTTTTGTATTTTTAATAGAGACAGGGTTTCACCACGTTGGCCAGGCTGGCCTTGAACACCTGGCCTTAGGTGATCCGCCTGCCTCAGCCTCCCAAAGTGCTAGGGTTACGAGCATGAGTCACCACACCCGGCCTAACGTTATCCACTACTTCTTCATAATTTTCTCTAGATGCCATGCTAATCCTACTCTCTAGGCTTTCTTTCACGATGACTTCTCCACCTATTAAAAAAGGTGTTTACAGTCCAGCTCATGTTTCTCTCTATGATGCTTCTCTGAATTTAAAATACAGATTAAAGGCCAGGCTCTTGTGGCTTACTTCTGTAATCCCAGAACTTTGGGAGGCCAAGGCAGGTGGATCTCTTGAGGTCAGGAGTTCAAGACCAGCCTGGCCATCATGGCGAAACTCTGTCTCTACCAAAAATACAAAAAATCAGCCAGATGTGGTAGTGTGTGCCTGTAGTCCCACCTACCTGGGAGGCTGAGGCATGAGAATTGCTTGAACCTGGGAGGTGGAGGTTGCAGTGACCCATGATAGCCCCACTGCACTCTAGCCTGGATGACAGAGCAAGATCTGTCTCCAAAAAAATAAAATAAAATACAGATTAGGTTGAATCATATAGTAAGCTGCCTTTTTTATAGGTCAAAATGGCTGAATGTCAGGAACTTTATATGGTTCATCCTAATATAGTATTGAGCTCAGGACGTAACTTGGCTTTATATGATTACAGTCATGCATTGCTTAACAATGGGGATATGTTCTGAGAAATGTGGTGTTGGTTGATTTAATCATTGTGTGACCATCATAGAGTATACTTATATGAACCTAGATTTTACATATATATATTTCTTTTTTAAAATATGGAAAGCTAAATGTCCCAGCACTACTACTGAGTATCAGTCATTTCCCCTACTTGAGCTGCAATATGAATATCAAGTGCTCATATACCAGGTTTCCATATATGCTTCATTGTCATCTTATGGGACCACTGTCATACATGCAGTATGCCACTGACCAAAATATCATTATGCAGCACATGACTGTAATTCACAATTCTGTACATTTCTTATATTTCCAACCTAGATAAAAATTTTGGAAATGACTTATCCTTCTTTTACCTTCTTTTACATTCCTTTAGAAAATGATCCGAGACTGGATATGGTGGCAACTCAAATGAAATGGTAAAATAAATGACATGCACATGTAAAAAGGTGAACTCAAATGAAAGCGAATGGATATGCATGCACACACATAACCAAACACACAAACACACACACACATACACACACACCCCAAACCAAAAAGGTTGACCCTCAAACTAACCTGGCTGTAATAAGGCAGCCAAATATGTATTTGTTGTTGTCTATTACATTTCTTTTAGCACAAAATTAAAGTTACAACCTCTTTTTCCTTTGAAACCAGGTGAGAAACATATAACTTGCAAATATCAAGAATTATATAATGTAATTTAATCAAATATAGAATTTATAATACAGCAAAAATGGTACTAAATACTTCAGAAACTTTCTAAGAGGCAGATCACAGTATAATACCTTTACAAACATATCCATTCAGTTGAGTAATATGCAGTATTTAAAAATGACAGCCACATCCACCAGAAAGGGACTAGTTATTAATAGAATAAGGGATAACAGAATATTGATAACTGATAATTATGTGATCTAGGTACATTGACATGAAAAGGTGTGTGGGGCACATTAAGCAAAAAAAAAAAAAAAAAGCAGGCGTATTTAAAAAAATGGAGCAAGACCCTATCTGTGTAAAGATATGCTATTTGTGTTACAAAGACAGACACAGACAGACAGACAGACAGACACACACACACACACACACACATACCCGCCAATAATCTAAGGGGAGAAGGTCCTGGTTATAACTGAAGGAAGAGGAACACTTATTATTTGCTTCCTTGTACTGCTTGAACTTATGAACTACTTTTTAAAACTTTTATTCAAATACAAAATCATAGTTTACATTGGAAATGTTTAGGAGTAATGTTAAATGAAATAAGTACCATAACAAGCATGAAAACACATCAGAAGTGGAAAAAGATTACCAAAATGCTAATAATGATATTATGGGTTTTCTAGTTTCTAATTTTCAATAAATTTGCTATATTACTTTTATTGCTATTTAGTATGAGTAAGTAGTTATATTCCATTCCAGTAGATGTAGCAAAATAAGAAAAAGTTTTAAAAAATGGAAAATAGTTACTTTTATGAAAGAAAAAAATTTATGAACTTTCTCAAACCAGGATTTGTTATTCCCCTCCCCAGAAGAAAATGAGACTGTGAATGGACTGTACAAGTAGGTGTGACTATATACAAAAAAGATGAGATAATACCAGACGTTGAGTTCAATTTCTATGTAATCAGGATCAACCTATGACAGATTGTAATACCTAACTGAAAAGTAAAGTTATAATTAACAAGCTTAAAGTGACAAGACTAAATGATAATCATGAAGAAATTGCTACTACAAATGAGTTTTAAACAAATTAGTTTACTAATTTTAGTTTTTAAAATTTTAGTTTTAAACAAATTAGTTTACTAAAAATTCTGAAACAGATCATTAAGCAGCACTTAAATATGTGTTTATCACTAAAAACAGAAAGGATTGGTTAGAAGATTTATCTGTTGGTTAAGAAGGACAAAAAGTGGCATAATATTTCTAAATAGAGGAGATTAATGTTGACTCAGGTAATCAAGGAAAGCTTCAGTGGGGGAGGTGTGACTTGACCTCAAAGATTGGCAAAGTACTGTATAAAGAACTATAAACCATAAAATATAAACATAAAAAAACCATAAGATGTAAGACAGTAATGGCCATCGAACCAACACCATTATTCTGTTTGTTAATTACCAAAGTTTCCATTTCCTGAAGTGTGACTAACCTACCTCCTGAAGTACCCTAACCAAAGCTTGGTTCAACTTACTATGTATCTTTAAGCTGGCAAGAAAGCAAAAACCTCATAGACCAAAAATTAAGTAAAAGCAGGAAGGCAAGACGTCAGTAACAGCTCAAGTTGACTGCCTAAGCTAGCTCCTCAATCACGTTTGATGACCTTAAGCTTCCACTTTGAGTGTACAAGGGACTCTGGGGCCAGAAGACAAAGCCTAGGGCCCAGCCCAGGAGAGGAGGTTGACTGCAGTCCCTTGAACAGAAGATTATACATGATGTAAGAACATGCTAGGCTAGAAAAACAAAACCCCAAAATCTCAACTCTACAGAAGGAAAAAAGGAACTGTCTTTCTCAGTCTTGGTACTCTTTGGAGGGAGAAAAATCTCCCCTCTCCATATGTATAACCATACATTGCCCTTTCTTCAGGATTCACAGCCCAAATTTGTGCTCTCTGATGACCCAAAAAACTCCTGATACTGAGAAGTTAACTTAAAGTGATTTCAGACTGCAAGCATCACCCAGAAGATTATCCTGACTCTAGTCTAGGCTTATATCCATTACACTATGTATGTTTTCTCAGTGCCTTGAGTGTGCTGAATTTGTTCCCCAGATAGTTTAGTGTACTGTAGGTATATTTTGTATTTTTCAGATTAAGGCATATAAGGCCATAAATTATAGAGAAGAATTAGCTTTTAAAGTTTATGACCCTTTAAATACCTAATGACCAAAGTTAGTTTTTTAAAAAAGTGAAAAAATTCACTCTAAGGTAGTATATCTTTTTTTTTTTTTTTTTTTTTTTCTATACAGGGTCTTGCTCTGTCACCCAGGTGGGAGTATAGTGGTGTTATCTTGGCTCACTGCAGCCTTGATCTCCCGGGCTTGTTTCCTCTCACTTCAGCCTCTTTAGTAGCTGGGATTACAGTCATGTATCACCACGACCAGTTAATTTAAAAAATTTTCAGTAGAGACAGGTCTCACTGTGTTGCCAGGCTTGTCTCAAACTTCTGAGTTCAAGCGATCTGCCTGCCTCAGCCTCCCAAAGTGCTGGGCTTACAGGTGTGAGCCACTGTGCCTGGCCATATCATATCTGTCATTATTGTTGTATACTAGCATCCATGTTGATGGACATACAAGAAGTCAGTGTTTTAGACTTAAAAAATGGACTAATGGCTGGGAGGTGTGGCTTACACCTGTAATCTCAGCACTGGAGGCCAAGGCAGGCGAATTGCTTGAGTCCAGAAATTGAGACCAGCATGGGGAACATGGCAAGACCCTGCCTCTGCAAAAAATACAAAAATTATCTGGGTGTGGTGGCACACATCTGTAGTTCCGGCTACTCAGGAGGCTGAGGTGGAAAGATAGCTTGAACGCAGGAGATGGAGGTTACAGTGAGCCATGATGACACCACTGCACTCCAGCTTGTGTGACGAGAGCAAGACTCTGTCTCAACAATAGCAATAAAATAAAATATAAAATAAAAAATGGAATAACAAAGCAAGATGCAAGAATATACATAGTATACTTCTTTTGTATGCAAAAGAAGATAATATATTAATAACTTATTTTTGCAAAGAGAAACATAGGAAGGATTCACCAGAAACCAATGATCATGGTTATCTATTGGGAGTAGGTGGGAAGAGAGCAGATGGAATGGAAATGTATACCTTTCTATATAGTTTTTGACTTCTGAGCCATGTTACTATTTTTATATACTCAAAAATGTAGATTAAAAACAATTTTAAAAAGCAAGAAAACACTATCCTTAGTGGTATATAATTTAAGAACAAAAAGGACTTCAAACAAATCTTAAACTTTCTAGACTGTTTCTATTGGTAGTAGTCCTGATATAAATTTGAAACTATTTTTGTGCATAACATATGATATAGCAAATAAGTAAGTATACTGATGTTATTGGAAACCAGGTTATTCATTGTATGAGAAAGGAGATGCAAAATGGAATATGGGAATATATAAAATGGAATATCCTTGTAGTGTTAGGTTTTAATTGGAGTTTAAGTATGAACTCATGACTTAAAATAACTAACACACACACATACTTCCTAGCTCTATCCACTGAACAGAAGCAATATGAATACATTTATGTATTCACATTGAATAAACAGTGAATATATTTATGGCCCAGATCTTAGTTTTTAAGTACCATTCCCTACTAAAATGAATCAGTGTTCCTTGGAGAAATTCCAAGTCTAAGGTAAGCATAAGGTGAGCCTAAAGAACATCTGGCTGTGCCAGAGAACAAGGAAATGGTTGAAAACTAATTGGGACGTCAAAAAGACGCTGAACTTCATTTGATGTCGGAGTGCCCAAATTTGGAACAACTGAGCGTCAAAAACACAAAACAAAATGTAAAAACTGGAATTAATGGACTAATAATAAATAGATACACACACACACACACACACACACACACACACACACACACACACACACACATATTTTTTCTTTGAGACGGAGTCTTGCTATGTTGCCCAGGCTGCAGTGCAGTAGTGCAGTCTTGGCTCACTGCAATCTCCGCCTCCCTAGTCCAAGCGATTCTCCTCCCTCGGCCTCTCGAGTAGCTGGGACTACAAGCATGTGCCACCATGCCCAGCTAATTTTTCTATTATCATTATTATTGTTTTTAGTAAAGACAGGGTTTTACTGTGTTGGCCAGGTTGGTCTCAAACTCCTGACCTCAAGTGGTCCACCTGCCTTGGCCTCCTAAAGTGTTCGGATTATGGGAGTGAGCCACTGTGCCTGGCTGACTAACAATATATCAAATTTTTAAATTTTCCATTAGTTCACAGTGGTATATACATAAAAATGGGGTGGGGGAGGAAGAGCTATTTTTTTGAGACAAAGTCTAGCTCTGTAGCCCAGGTCATGCAGTGGTGCAACTCTGGCTCACTGCAACCTCTGCCTCTGCCTCCCAGGTTCAAGTGATGCTTCTGTCTCAGCCTCCCAGTTAGCTGGGTTACAGGTGCCTGCCACCAACCTCAGCTAATTTTTGTAGTTTTAGTAGAGACGGGGTTTCACAGTGTTGGCTGGTCTCGAACTCCCAACCTCATGATCCACCCACCTCGGCCTCCCAAGGTGCTAGGATTACAAGTGAGAGCTACCACGCCCGGCCAGAAGAGCTGTTCTTTAATGAAGAATGCTATTAATCATTTAGAAAAGATGACTGAATTAGAAAATCACCATTTTGTGGCTGGATGCAGAGGCTCATGCCTATAATCCCAGCACTTTGGGGGGCCAAGGCAGGAGGATCACCTGAGGTCAGGATTTAAGACCAGCCTGGCCAACATGGTGAAACCTCAGCTTTACTAAAAATATAAAAATTAGCTGGATGTGGTGGCATGTGCCTATAATCCCAGCTACCGCAGAGGCTGAGGCAGGAGAACTGCTTGAACCCAGGAGGTGGAGGTTGCAGTGAGAGGAGATCATGCCATTGCACACCAGCCTGGGCACCAAGAGCAAAACTCAGTCTCAAAAAAGACAAAGAAAAAGAAAATCACCATTTTGCAACCAGCAATATAATATTACAAAGACCATCAAATGGATGCTAAAAAATTTAAGTAAAGAATTATCAAGGAACAGTCATGTGACCACAAAGTATCACTCCACAGAACTACTTATTACAAAGAATGCACCTTTAAAGAGGACAGACTTTGTAGACCCCACCTTAACCAAACTGAGCATCTCTAATGATGGGACAAATTACCATTATGTACCTCCTGAGGAAATACAATGGAAGATACACATCACCTTTCAAGTATTCTTGGCAGAATGTTTAAACTGACTACCTTTAGGAAACAAGGAGGCAAATCTAAACTGTAGGTCATTAAAAAAAAAAAACTGGCTTGGATCCTTTAAAAAATGTCAATGTAATGAAAGACTTTTTTAAAAACAGAAAAAAGGCTGGGGAACATTTCTCTGTTAAAAGGGACTAAAGATAGGAGATAAAAGCAAGTGGAACATGTGATTCCTGACTGGATCCTGTATTGGGGAAAAAAATATCTATCAAGGATGTTTTTGGGACAGCTGGGAAAATCTGAATATTTGACTATACATTTAATAACACTCTTATAAATGTTAACTATCTAGAGTGAGAGAATAGTATTATGTTTATGTAGAAAAATGTTCATGTTCTTAAGAGATATTTAGGGGTTGTCATGATGCCTGTAACTAACTGTAAAATGGTTCAGTGCAAAAACCTTTGTATAGAGATACAGCAAAAGTGGTTAAATGATGGTAATTAGTGATTCCAGGTAGATAGTACATAAGTGATGAATGTATTGTGCATGTGTAGGTTTTAAGTCTTTTAAATGAAGCTATTGCAGAGGGAAGAAACAAGGATGAGAATGAAAAAGTCCATGAATAAGAAACAAGTTCAATAATAAAAATATGATGAAGATATACAAAAAGAAATGAGGAAGCTTTTTACAACCTCATTTGGAAGGCTTTTCAAGATACACTTTTAAGTTAAAAAGCAAGGTACAAAACAGTATGTATAGTATGCTACCATTCATATTAGAAATGGAGAAAAACTATTTTTATATTGACTTCATATGTAAAAAATCTAAAGCATAATAAACATTTCAAATAACTGCTTATTGCCACAGTTTTAACCTGGAGACAAGAATTGTTCACACTTTATTACCTGACTTCTACTTATGTGGGAGGACAGACTTCTATAGCAGTCATACGCTGGGGAGATGGCGGCACTGGGTGAATGTGGTACTCAGGTGGGACATTTTATATATATTTTGCTTTACACATGTTTAAGAATTTTGAATCTTATGAATATATTATATTTTTAAATAATTTAAAAATAAGGAAGGAATGATTTACAAAAGATGAAGGCAGGGAGATGTAGGAATTTGTCAGTGAACAGAATAAAAGAAAGTCAAAAATTTTAAGAAGGTTTAACATTGAAATTTTTAGGGGGCATTCATGTATGTTTAAATATAGAGGAAGGGGAAAATGGCACAATGAAAGCCCTATACAACGCTCTAAGAGATGGGATCTAGAGGTCATGTAGAAGGAGAAAATGAAAAGAGACACAAGGGAAAGGTCTAATAATGATGTTTGGAAACTCTTCCTGAAGAGGCCTCCGTAAGGAAGCAATGCCAAACAGCTTAGTGTTCTTTTTTTTTTTTTTTTTGAGATGGAGTTTCACTCTTGTTACCCAGGCTGGAGTGCAATGGCGCGACCTTGGCTCACTGCAACCTCCACCTCCTGGGTTCAAGCAATTCTCCTGCCTCAGCCTCCCAAGTAGCTGGGACTACAGGCGCGCGCCACCATGCCCAGCTAATTTTTGTATTTTTTTAGTAGAGACAGGGTTTCACCTTGTTGAACAGGATGGTCTCTATCTCTTGACCTTGTGATCCACCCGCCTCGGCCTCCCAAAGTGCTGGGATTATAGGCGTGAGCCACCACGCCCACCCAGCTTAGTGTTCTTGACAGGCTTGAATGCCTTTGCAGAAAGTAAGCTGATCATATTTAAAAAGCATATCTCACCACACTTAGGATATAGATTCTGAAATGCAAAGAAGCTCATGTGCTTTTTTGTTTCTCACCTGGACTAGGGCCTTCTAAAATTTCTTTTATCACCATCCATGGTTCTTCCAATATGGGAATCACAGTTGGTCTGTACACTGTAAGTCCTGTTCAGGAGGAATGTAATAAATTTTATCCTGTAGATAAACAGTTGCTTGAAGTTTTATTACCAAACTTCTACATATCTGGGAGAATGGACCTCTGAAGGCAAACAATAGTTCATGGACATGATCTAATAAAAGAATTAGGGTTTTGGTTGTTGTCCTTTTCGGAGATAGAATAAAAATTTCCTGTCATTGAAGAGAATATGTACATGGAGATCATGAAGGAAGAAACCTTCCCTTAGAGTAGCAAAGACCAAGCAAGGTAGCACTGGGTGGCAGCACTATGAAGCTGTGCATCTTTTTCCAATGTTTTCTCACTTGAAAACCTTTCATTTGGGAAATGGGAGTAAAATAGTCACTCTTGTGCTAGAATGAGGTCCGAACATTTATTTCTAGACCCCATTTTTAGCTAAGCATGTGAGAGGCCCAACCCATTTTTAACAACAGGTGTAAGAAAGATACCCTGGCTAGGAGGAGGAGGGCCACAAATGATCCTTACCCAGAGAAACCATGTTCCAATAGTTCTGTAACGTCACAGTCTTGTATAATTCCTTTTGTACAGGACGCATTAACTCCCAGTCCTCCTGGGTGATGTCTACAGCCACATCTTTGAATGTCATTGATTCCTAAAATATCAAATGTAACTTAACTCAGTTCAAGAACTAATGGCAAAGGGGACACTTATAACACTGGGTGTATGTATGGTGGGGGAGTATCACAGAATCTTAAGTTTTAGTAGGATCTGTTGTCTAGTCAAAACCTCCCCCAACATATGGACAGCCCCACAGCATCTCTCCATAACCCTAAAGGAAAGTCTGAAAATAAAGTAGAATTTACTTTCACTTGGCACTCGTGCATGCATTGGTGGCAGCTCCGTTTTTTAAAAAGAAAAGGTTTATTATTTTTAAAGGAGACGGTCTCTGTTGCCTGTGCTGGACTAGTGCATGCATTGGTGGCAGCTTCATTTTTAAGAGGAAAAGATTTATTTTTATTATTTTTTAAAGAGACAGGGTCTTACTTGGTCACCTGAGCTGGAGTGTAATGGTGCAATCATTGTTCACTGCAGCCTTGAGCTCCTGGGCAGAAGTGATCCTCTCACCTCACCCTCCCAAGCAGCTGGGACTACAGGTGTCCACCACCACATTTGACTAATTTTTAATTTTTTTGTAGAGATGGGATTTTGCTATGCTGCCCAGGCTGTTATCAAACTCCTGAACTCAAGTGATCCTTCACCTCAGCTTCCCAAAGTGTTGAGATTATAGGAGTGACCCGCCATGCCTGACTTGAGTTTTAAATTTTAAACATAGATGACATAGAGTTGAATGATTTTGCTTTTCAAGCTATGCTTTAAGAATAAATCCGAGGCCGGGTGTGATGGCTCATGCCTGTAATCCCAGCACTTTGCGAGGCCGAGGTGGGTGGATCATGGGGTCAGGAGATCGAGATCATCCTGGCCAACATGGTAAAACCCCATATCTAAAAAAAAAAAAAAAAAAGAAGGAAAAAAAAAAAAAGAATAAATCCAACATGTTATAATTAAAATGTTAAGATATTTTTATGTGTTCTATGATTAAATGCAGTCTTTCTTTTTAAAAATACAACAATAAACACAGTGTTGAATTGCTGCACTGTTAGATACATTTCACAGTCTGCTAAGGTTAGTGCCTTTCTTGTTTGCTCTTTTGTTAAAAATGTAATATTATTTTACATGCTTCTCTTTTTTTTTTTTTGAGACGGAGTCTTGCTCTGTCACCTGGCTAGAGTGCACTGGCTTCCCAAGTAGCTAGGATTATAGCCATGAGCCACCACACCCAGCTGATTTTTGTATTTTTAGTAGAGATAGGGTTTTGCCATGTCAGCCAGGCTGGTTTCAAACTCCTGATCTCGGGTGATTCACCCTCCTCAGCCTCCCAAAGTGCTGGGATGACAGCTGAGATGACAGGCGTGAGCCACCATGCCCAGCCACATGTTTATTTTTTCATATAATTGTATGAAAGGAGGCCAGGTGTGGTGGCTCATGCCTATAATCCTAGCACTTTGGGAAGCCAAGGCGGAAGGATCACTTTGAGACCAGAATTTAAGAACAGCCTGGGCAACACAGTGAGATTCCATCTCTTAATTTTTTTCTTTTAAATCATACTGAGATTTAAAAATTCTATGAGGTTTATAACTTAGGGAGAACTAATGACTTTATAATTTACAAGGTTTCTTTCATGTTCTACAAAATATTAGACATGAAAGTACTACAACATTTATATAATATTTATATTATGCTTAGTTTTAGATATTTTAAGTTTTTTGGGGGGTTTTGATACTGGAAGCATTTATTTCATTTTATCACCTATCTGATTTCTAGGTGTGTGTATATATATATATGTGTGTGTGTGTGTGTGTGTGTGTATATATGTATATATGTGATTAATTTTTTCATGTCATTTTCTGTAGAGTCATTTTATCCCATTTTTCTTAGTGTTTTTAACAGTTTTTCCCTTGATTTTGTTAGGTTTTGCAGGTAAATGTTCACATCATCAATGAATAATCATTTTAACTTAGTTACCAAAGGCTTTCCAATTTCAGAAAGACCAGTTATAGTTTTACAGTGTACTTCTCTTAAGGCAGCTGAAGTTGCTATTCTGTAAAATTTAGATTCATGGCTGGGTGTGGTGGCTCATGCCCATAATCCCGGCACTTTGGGAGGCCAAGGTGGTTGGGTTACCTGAGGTCAGGAATTCAAGACTAGTCTGACCAACAACGGCAAAACCCTGTCTTTACTAGAAATGCAAAAATTAGCCTGGCATGGTGGCATGCACCTGTAACCCCAGCTACTCCAGAGGCTGTGGCACAAAAATTGCTTGAACCCAGGAGGAGGAGGCTACAGTGAGCCAAGATCACACCACTGCACTCCAGCCTGGGTGATAGAATGAGACTCTGTCTCAAAAAATAGATATAGACACATGATCAACAGTAATATCACAGAATGCATGGCCTTTAACTACTTGTTAATGAGGAAAAATAATAGCAACAACTGTCTATTAACTGCTTAACTGTAATCCAGCCCAACTACAAGTCTCATAAAATTTAATACTCACAATCTAAGAGAGAAATTCTATTTATGAGAGTAGAATAACTCAGGGTAAGAGTGGTTAAGTATCTTGTCCCAAACGGCAGCTCCAGTGGTAGAGCCAGGAACCAAAACCTAAATCCATCTGGCTGTGGAGGTCAATCTCGTATCTCGTATGTGATATTGTTGACAAAGTCAAAGTAAGGAAAGATGTACCAAGGGAAGGCAATGGAAGCCCCTTTTCTTTACTGTACATTTACCTACATTAACAGACAAAGACAACATAGAGAAACTGAGGCTTAAGTCCTTATAGAGCTTTTGGGGGCACAGTAGTTACAGCGCCAGGACAGAAAATGTCCTCATACACTAAGAAGGCATTTTAAAATCAGAAAAGATAGACAAACTCACTTTGGTCACCAAGTCATTTAGCCACCCTGCCTGGAAAGCATGTTTTCCTCTGGGGTCTTCCTCTGGGGTATCTTGGGAAAGGGTAGAGTTTTGAGGAGCTAGAGAAGAGAAAGAGGTCATGAAGGAGATTAGTCCTTTTTGAATAGCTTAGGAAACCCCTCACCAAATGGATGCCTACACTTTCTTAAATTGATAAGTAAGAAGGAAACCAAAAACAGCATTCCTACTTCAAAGCATCAGAGGAAAGGACCAATGACTTGTCTTAAGACATCAAAACAGACTTCGAAAACAAGCTTGCTCTAAAAATCTTAAAAGTATGAACAAAATTCACTTTTTTTTTTTTTGAGATGGAGTCTCGCTCTGTTGCCCAGGCTGGAGTACAGTGGTGCGATCTCAGCTCACTGCAACCTCTGCCTCCCAGGCTCAAGCAATTCTCCTGCCTCAGCCTCCTGAGTAGCTGGGACTAAGGCTCGCATCACCATGCCTGGCTAATTTTTGTATTTTTGGTAGAGATGGGGTTTCAGCATTTTGGTCAGGCTGGTCTGGACTTCTGACCTCGTGATCCGTCCGCCTCAGCCTCCCAAAATGCTGGGATTACAGGTGTGAGCCACCACACCTGGCCTTTTTTTTTTTTTTTTTTTTTTTTGAGAAAGAGTCTTGCTCTGTCACCCAGACTGGAGTGCAGTGGAGTAATCTGGGCTCACTGCAACCTCTGCCTCTCAGGTTGAAGTGATTCTCCTGTCTCAGCCTCCCAAGCAGCTGGGACTACAAGCTTGTACTATATACCCGACTAATTCTTGTATTTATAGTAGCAACAGGGTTTCACCATATTGGTCAGGCTGGTCTGGAACTCCTGATCTCAGGAGATCTGCCCACCTCAGCCTCCCAAAGTGCTGGGATTACAGGCATGAGCCACTGCGCCCAGCCCAAAATTCACATTTTAACTAAATTCTTACGTGATATTAATTTTGTGAGTTGTCTCTTAATAAGGGAATGTTTTCTCAACCCTTTCTTCCTTTACTGGAAGTATTTTACTGTAAAATTCTATTCACAAAACAAATGATTTGTTAGTAGAATGGTGCAAACCTCTGCAGGTACTTTCTGAAGGCTCACACAGTGGTAATTTGCTTGTGCCTGGTCACTCTTCCAAGATATTTTTCCTGGGGGTTTAGACAACGTGGGTTTGCCCCCAAGCAATCCGGAAGGAGAACACCATGCAGGATGGAGCTCATGTTAAAGCCTTGTTCGGACTCACTGAACTTTGTTCTCCCCAATTTCTTTCTTTTTAAAAAATGCATCCTGGACCTCTAAGTGTTCGCCCCAATTTCTTTTTCTTTCTTTCTTTTTTTTTTTTTTTTGAGACGGAGTTTCCCTCTTGTTACCCAGGCTGGAGTGCAATGGCGCGATCTCGGCTCACCGCAACCTCCGCCTCCTGGGTTCAAGTAATTCTCCTGCCTCAGTCTCCCGAGTAGCTGGGACTACAGGCGTGCGCCACCATGCCCAGCTAATTTTTGTATTTTTTTTTAGTAGAGACAGGGTTTCACCATGTTGACCAGAATGGTCTCGATCTCTTGGCCTCGTGATCCACCCGCCTCGGCCTCCCAAAGTGCTGGGATTACAGGCGTGAGCCACTGCGCCCGGCCTCAATTTCTTTAAAAGAGCTGCTCAGCTGTGCTAGTTGCCTTCTTTAACCACCCAGGGATTCCTCCCCTCTCTGCTCTATGATTCTCACCTTCCTCTTCTAGAATCTGAGTCAAATCCTCCACCAGAGTCACTGCTTCCTCGCTGCTCTCTGGATATTGGGATTTTACCCAAGTCCTAACCTCACCAGGCAGGATGGTCAGGAATTGTTCCAGCACCAGCAGTTCCAAAATTTGTTCCTTTGAGTGAATCTCAGGTCTCAGCCACTTAAGGCAGAGCTCTCGGAGTTGACTCAATGCCTTTCGAGGACCAGCCAGGTCTGGGTATGGAAAATTCCTAAAATTCTGTCGACAGGTCTCAGTGTCACGCAAGAATCTCGAAGTAAGGATTTCCTTCTCAACATGGTAGAGTCCACTCTGAGCCTTGTCTGACTTCCACCTTAGAAGGATTTGGGAACGTGAAGAACTGTTCATCCTCTTGCTTGAGACTAACATTGCTACAGACAGGAGAGTCAATCTGGCAATATCCTTTATTTCTCCAGTAGTGAGGCAACTGCTTGAAGTCTCATGCTAGAGTCACAAGGACGCTATATCAAAGGCTGCTGCAGCCGAGGGCAGAACAGAATCAAGGTAGAGTTAGCAGCCTTAGTGACAAATTCTGAGCCCAGAACTTGCAGGGATGGATAAGAGACCCTGAAACACAAGCATGGACCACAGGGTCAAGAATTCCTTGCATGCTCTACCATATATATACACACACAGAAACACTCGCAGTGTGCAGAGATGAACAAACATACGCTTCACCGTGTCTTCCTCCCCTATATCCTTAGACTTGCAAGGGAACTGCAATCTGCTTGGGGTTGGTGGGGGATGGAGCTACTATTAAAAAGGTAGTGTCAGAGGCAATGACTCAAAAGAATCTAAGCAAAACGAAACATTAAACCTCTAACCTGTTGAAAAACAATTAAACATTTTTATAGACAAAATAGTTTCATTACTTTAGTCACTGATGTTACAGAAGTTGTAATGACTGAACTGGCTCTCGATAATAACAGAGCAAATCTGTTACTTGGAAGAAACTAGGAGAATTTCTTCTTAATACAGTGCTCAAGGTTCCCAAAGGAACTGTCAAGGGAAAGGGCGAGCCATTTATCTGCTTTGCATATTAATGCCAGCCGACTCTAGCTTGTCACAATCAAAGGGCTGGGAAGACAGCGGGTTGGACAGGTAAAGAGTAGAAGAGGTTGGTGTGACGTGAAGCCCTTTAAGTGCGTCTACGGGAGACAGTTCCTTAAGGATATATTCGAAACCAGGATTCTCGAAGGAAACGTTAGCACTGGCCTGATCTGGAGAACAGACACTACCTGTGCCCAGGCTCCAGCTCCGAGCCCTGCTCAGGCACAGTCCTGCCGCCAAAGCCAACTGTTTACAAGGCCCTGCAGAGGAGATGCGACAGCCTCGCCTGGCCTTCTGTCGCGGGCCGCCCCTTTCCGGCCAAGTCCCTTTGCCTCTTACTCCTCCTCAGATGCAGGGTCGAGGGCCAGGGCAGCGGGGGAGTAGGGGACCCTGCGACACGCAACGCTGGGACTGGGCCCACAGCAGCCTCCACCCCGTCTTTGCCCTCCCGCAGGCCACGAGCACGGGCGCCCGCGCGTGGACGGGCTCGGGCTGTCACTGACCGCGCAGACACTCGCGCGCGGCGCCCGGACATCAATACCTGTCGCTGGGACCCGGCCGACGGGCAGCCGTAGCGGCCCTGAGGCCACAGGCAACAATGGCGGCGCTGGCACTGGCGCCTGCGTGGCGGGCTCAGTCCCGCGCGGCAGCGGGTCCTCGGGCTCCGCCACTTCCCTTCCCCGCAAAGCAGAGCGTGGGCGGCCAGGAGCTGCACGTTCCAGCCCGGTCCTGAGAAACCCGGCCGAGAAGCCCCAGCGCCTCTGCTTCGCCGCGACCTCGCCTCGGCGCCACTGCGCATGTGCGCCGGGAGAACGCTGCGCGCCCGCAGAGCCAATCGGAGCCCGACCTGCGGCCTCCCCCTCCAGCGTCTCTGGCCCTGGACCTGTCTCCATGGCAACCTCCTCCACCCTTCGCTCTGACTTGCTTGTCAGCCTGCGAGGTTCCGAAGGGAACTTCAAAGTTTCCCTGGGCAGACGCAGGTCTAGCAGAAGTGTTGGAGGCCGGGGAGATTCCAGCAGCTGGAGCAGCGCTAGGGAGTTGAAGCCCCCCTCATTACCCAGAGAAAACCCGGTGCCAGATTTCTGAGAGGAAGAATGGGCAGGGAAGATGCGGTTCTAAAGGCAGAAAGACCTAACGTGCGGTTTCGGGCTTGACTGTGCATGCATATTAACTGTTAAAGGCTCTCACTTCCTCCTCAGGAATTTGATTCTGAGACTCTCAGATTGAGGAGGTGGACCCATTTTTCTTTCTTTGTTTTTTCTTTTCTTTTTTCTTTTTTTTTTGCGACGGAGTCTCGCTCTGTCACCCAGGTTGGAGTGCAATGGCACGATCTCGACTCAGTGCAACCTCCGTCTCCTGGGTTCCAGCGAGTCTCCCGTCTCAGCCTCCCGAGTAGCTGTTATAAGAGACACAAAACAAAAATACATACAAATAAAAGGATATAAAAATATATTCCAGGTGTTCCCGTTATCTAATGTTTTATTAACAAACCACCCCCAAACTTAGTGGTTTTGAAGAACAACTACCTTATTATGCTCATAAATATGGTGAGGAATTTGGAAGGGACTGGAGTAGGTGGGCCTTTGCCTCATTGTTTGTAGCCTCCGTTGGGATGATTTGATGGCTAGGGGGGCCACTTTCAAGACGGCTTTCCACTCACATGCCCACCACTTGGGAGGAGATGGGTTAAAAGACGAGCTTGGCTTGAATTTGACCAGAGCATCTCAATGTGTTTTCTCCAGCATAAAGGACTGAGGGCAGCTGGAAGGAATTATCACATGGTGGCTCTGGGCTCCAAGAGTGAGCATTCCAGTGAACAAGAGACAAGCGCAACGGCCAATTATAACACGGCCTTGGAATTCACCTAGCACCAATTCTGTGAGACTCTTGGTCAAAGCAGTCATAAGCCTGCACAGAGTTAAATGAGGCAGAACCCTGTGGGGTTGGGGGAGGACTGTCAAAGGGTCTTATCACACCAGAAACATTCTATCAAAAAGAAAGCTGGGGAGTGCGATGGTCTTTTGATCTGTCAACTTGGCTAGGCTACAGTCTCTGGAGTTTCTTCTTCATCAGCGTGCAACAGCTTCTAGCCTGCCTTTCCTGATGAGGTCCTCTTACAGACTTTGAACTTGCCTAGTCACCCCCCTCAATTGAGTAAGCCAACTCCTTGCCACAAGTATCTTAAATATCTACTGTTCTGCTTTTCTGGTTGAACCCTGACTGATACAAATAATAATCCTAATATCAGCTATGCTAGAATTGAGAATATCACAAGGGAATAAATAAGAATGTTTGATGGAAAAGATATATTTATCATAAATATACAGCAAGTCCCTAATAATAAGACCTCAAAATATGCAAAGCAATAGTTGACATACCTGTAGGGAGCAAAACATAAGCCAACAACAGAAGCTGGAAATTCAACACACACTGTAGTCACACTGGGTGTGCTGCCACCAGGATCCTCCTTCCAGGCTGAGGCGTCCATTCCCACAGCTGCTGGCTGAGTAGCTGCTGATGGCTCACGGCTAAATATTTCCTTGGAAGTTGTCCTAGCTGCAGGGAGCCTCTCACAAGTCACATCTTCTCTCCAGGGGAAATCCATATCCAAAGAATGCTCAGTGCAGGGTTCAAAGACCTGGTTCCCTGTCTTTAACTTGCAGCCTGTATAAAGGGCCATCTTAGCTTAAGAATTCCCTGCGAAACCAACTGAGGCCTCTGTTGCAATCACATGGCATTTAAACCTATTCTGCTGTCCAGTTCTTCTTATATCACTCCTGCATAGGCATTTTTTCTAGAGAATGCTACCAAATAATTACCTTGCATGCAATTCTCCATCTCAGAATGTATTTCTAGGGAATCTGTCCTATAATAGTTGGTATCAGCAGTTGTTCTAGGAAAGCAAACTCTAAAATGATTTTTTTTTTCCTGAGGTGGAGTCTTGCTCTGTCACCCAGGCTGGAGTGCAGTGGCACAATCTCAGCTCACTGCAACCTCTGCCTCCTGGGTTCAAGCAATTCTCCCTGCCTCAGCCTCCTGAGTAGCTGGGATTATAGGCGCCTGCCACTACACCCAGCCAATTTTTGTATTTTTTAGTAGAGATTGGGTTTTGTCATCTTGTCCAGGCTGTTCTTAAATTCCTAAACTCAGGTGATCCACCTGCCTCGGCCTCCCAAAGTGCTGGGATTACAGGCATGAGCCATAAAATGGAATTTTGAAGCTGAGTTACCTGCCATTTTGCTGACAATGAGGGAGGGCCCCAGGACTTGTGATTGGCAGAGTAATGATAGCATATATCAGGTCGAAGCAATGTAATTGTTAAAATTGTCAGTGGTGTTGAACTGGAGTGGAATATTGATAGAAGGGAATGCACTGGTGGATGCTACATCTCAGATCTTTATAACATTAGGGGCAGTGATGGAATCGAATGGCCATTATCAGCAGCTATTGACAATGAAAGGCTGATGGTTATTAGTAACAAATTTAAGGGAAAATGTGAGAATCAGAGGACTTCTTGAAGTCTGATAGCAAAACAGCTGAGAATCAGGCCCCAGGATGATAATGCTAGTACTCTAGCAATATAATAACTTCAGCTAAGATTGAATTATAAATCCCAGCAAGTTTGCTATGCCAAGGTCAGGATCCTGCTGGGAAAGAAGTAGAACTCTGAGATTTGGGGTGAGGACATTTGATTTATGCATGCAAACACCCTCAAACACCAATCCTTCTGAATTTCCTGGGCTTGTTAAAGTGGCCCAGTCCTCCAAGTCTAAAGCTAGGGCTCTGCCTTGCTGGAAGATGGTGCAGACAGAGGCCTCTACATTGCAATAAAACTAGTGCCCCTCTCAGGATCTACCTACCCTTTCCTCCCCCTACCCCATCCACTAGACCAATAACTAGAATTAAGTTGCCAAGAAACCCAACAGGGGAAATTCTGGGCATAAGAGAGGAAAAGAACCATCCTCTGAAGTTACTACAGGCCCTAGTCTATATCTATCTGTAGGAACCAGGAGAGCATGTATTGGACTGGATTCTAAGGATGCTGGATCAAGAACGTAGAACATATATTTTAGTACCAGAGAGTTCATTGAAAAGGAACACATTCCTGGCCAGGCACAGTGGCTCAGGCCTGTAATCCGAGCACTTTGTGAGGCCGAGGCTGGCGGATCACCTGAGGTCAGGAGTTGGAGACCAGCCTGGCCAACATGGTGAAACCCCATCTCTATTAAAACTACAAAAAATTAGCCAGGCATGGTGACAGGCACCTGTAAAGCTAGCTAATCAGGAGGCTGAGGCAGGAAAATTACTTGAATCTGAGAGGCAGAGGTTGCAGTGAGCGAAGATCATGCTATGGCACTCCAGCCTGGGCAACAAGAGTAAAATTTGTCTCAAAAATAAAAAAGCACACTCCTGTGATACAGGATTTAAACACTCTGGCAAAGATGCCAGGAGATGGGGATTAGAGAAATACATGGCTCATGTTAAGCAGAAAATGTCAGAATTCCGTGACAAAAGGTAAAATGAGGTTAAAAGGCTCAGGGAACTGAGCATACTAGAATAGGTAGAGTATGTAAGGCTGAAATACTTTCCAGCTGTCTGTCTCATTGTAAAGTCGGAAGATCATCTGCTGTGATAAAGAATGTGCTAGAGAGTGGCATCAGCATCATTGAGAAACTCTGTGGCAGCTGTCCTCTGTAAGCTGAGGCTGACAGTAGGGGATTTGTTACAAGACTGGGCTCTCTGAGGATGGCTCCAGAAATAAGGTGAGCTCAATTCACACAATGAGCAATATGATCAAAGTGGAAGATGGGGAGAGGAAAAGGGGAAGAGGCGCTTTATTTTCAGAGAAGTTTCAAGGAGATTAATAGAACATGGTGTCTCTAAAGACAAGATATGCAGGCCGACAACAGGGGAAGTAATCAGTCTATACAGTCAAGTGAAATAAAGGATGAATAATCAAGAAACGGAGGCTAAGAAAATGTAATGATCACTGGCCCCATTTTCAGACCCAGAACTCATGACTGAAGAAGCCAAATCTCCAGAAGTCAGGACCTTATTGTACTGCCATGCATATATTTGGTAATGATTTTCCCAGCCCCCTCCCACCCAAAGGTACTTATGGCCATTTACTTAGGTACGTGGGGAAAAAGGGAGTACCCAGAAGTTTCAAGGCTGCCGGATAAAGTCCAACCTTGGTTCATGGAAGAGTTGGCCCAATATGTGGGTACCAGCTGAAAATGAACTGCTCCTACATCACAGCTCTATTTAGGAGTGGCCTTGAAAGAAACTGATGAGAGGATATTCTTCCAATGGACAGAGCTTCTGGTGAACACCTGGGCATTTATTTTATGTAGCAAGAGAAGTGGATGGAAGTAAGGATGCACATGAACAAAGATGGCTGGCTTGGATGGTTGGTCAAGGGGCTTAGAAGATTGAAAGACTGTGAAACCAGCTGAGGCCTCTGTTGCAATCACATGGTATTTAAACCAATTCCGCTGTCCAGTTCTTCTTATATCACTCCTGCATAGGCATTTTTTCTAGAGAATGCTACCAAATAATTACCTTGCATTGACATTGATACTTAGGGACCTGAGGCAACATGATGGCCTCTATGTTAGAATGGTGAAGTGTGTAATTTACAATGAACAGGACTTTTTTGGCTTATGGTTCTGGAGGTTTGGAAGTCCAGTATCAAGTAGCCAGTATCTTGTGAGGGCCTTCTTGCTGCATCATCTCATGTCAGAAGAGCGAAGAGGGGGAGAGAGGGGATAAAAAGGGCTGAAGTTCCCCTTTGATAACAA